GGGGATGTAGCAATGCGCCAAGTGGCAGGTGGCAAGGGAGAACACCAAACCAGGCCCGGGACTGCTCACACTCATCCTGGCCCACCACCCCTGTTGTCCCTGCTAGGTAGTGCTGCCTCGGAGTCAGGAGAGGCTCCTGCCCCCGCAGCTGCCCCCACCAGCCATAAGCCTGGCTTCTAGCTGAGCAGCAGTCCCCCTATGGGAGCACACTGACCACCAGGGGGAAGCTCCTGCACTGAGCATCTGCCCCCTGGTGGTCAGTGCACATCATAGTGACCCCTCCTTCCAGCTATTCCAGTAACATAGGCTTTTATATATAGACACTGTGAGCTTCTCAAGGAGGATATCCTCAACTTTATACACAAAACACAAAGTAAGTACTAAGAACATGTTCTTGTGTGTGTGTGAGGGTGTGTTAATCTTCACCTGAGGGTATTTTTCCACTGGTTTTTAGGGAAAGTGGAAGAGAAAGGGAAAGACAGAGAGAAACACTGATGTTAAAGAAACACATCGACTGATTGCCTCCTGCACAAGCCCCTACTAGGGCCCAAGCCCCTACTAGGGCCCAATCAAAGTACATGCCCTTGACCTGAATCGAACCTGGGACCTTTTAGTCTGTAGGATGACACTCTATCCACTGCGCCAAACTGACTAGGGCAGTACTAAGAAAATGTTTGAATGAATGAACCCAAAATATTCATTATCCTAAGAAATAATAAAATCCATAATGACCACACTTATCCTTAAAAAATAAGAACCTCTTTTAAATATAAGTTTACTTAAAAAATCCACCAGCCCCAAGAAAAATAGGTTATCATCTTATATTACACTCTCTGGACCCAGCTGCCTTGTTACTTCCTGCCCTTGAAGATAGCAAAAGCAACCCTTAAAGAAACCCATTTGCTGAGTCCGCAGACCTTTTGGCCTCATCACTGATGTCTTCTCATATTACAACCTTCTTTGAATGATGCCAAGTATATTTTTGGTCAGTCTCCTTCAAGCAGACACTTTACATTACTTGCCAAGTATTTTCTAACCATCAGGGATTGTATGATTTTTATATTATAGAACATTTAGCTGCTTTATGCCAATATTAAACAAATGCAGATGCAAGGATTTATGAAAATTCCTTCTTAAGGAGCTTGAAGAATTAAAAAGAAAACCATTCCTTAATTTCATAATTCAACAAAGAGCTTAATTGTATCTACATGTGTGTGCACATGCTGATGGTGGAAGGAATGTTAGCAAACATTAACATGAAGTTAAAATCTCATGGAACCACAGCATTTAAGAGCAGAAAGGATTATTTTAATGGATAACAGAGAGATGTACCTTCCTTGGGGGTTAATCTGCTGGTTGAATTTCAAATTTAGAAAGTTTAAAACAAAATTCTTGACTTTTTCTTCCATAATGTTTCAACCTGAAGTTTGGGCCATCTCAAGCAATGGCACATTTGTTCACCACCAAGTTGCTCAAGCCAAAATCTTAGTTGTTTTTTATTCTTCCTCTTTCATTTTCTTATGCTCCCTCAGCAACTTCTGTCAATTATCACCTGAGCTGATTCCTCTTGCCTCCCACAATCTCTACACATTAGCTGGTGTAGATCCTTTAACAATATAAGTCACATCTTCTCATTTGTGTAAGCATCCTTTTTACACTACACTTATACCATTGAAGCTCTTTACCACACCTTATAAGACTCTACATTATTTCATTATTGCCTACTTGGCCATTTCAAAACTGCTCTAACTTCTCATGACTCTGCTCCAGCTACGCCATTTTTGTTGGTTTGTTGTTGTTCATTCCTATCTCAGGACTTGGGCTGTTCTGTCTTCCCAGACTTCACAGGGCTGGTTCCTCCCCAACAAGCTGTTCTTCCTTCTAATAACTTTTTCAGAGAGTACATTCCTCTTTCCTAGTTAACTTGTATTGTTTCATCTTGTCTTGACTATCTGAGATGACTTTGTTAGGTTACTGTTTAGTCTCTTTTCCTCTGAATATAAGAGCTTCATGGGTATAGGGACCTAGAATACATCCCAACACAAGAAAGATATTCACAAATATGAATGATTAGGTCTAATTCCAATGCTTTCCCTTTGAACTCATGTCAGTCTCATGAAATAACTCTAAGGCAGTATGCTATAGTGGAATGTGGACTCAGAATTGCGTATAAATCCTTTCTTTGCCACTTCCCAATTGTATAACTGTACAAGTTGATTATCACCTTTGAGTGATAATTTACTTCTTATAAAATGGGTATAATAGTCCAACTCTATAAAGTTGAGGTAGGAGTTTTTAAATTACACAATTTATATAAAAAGCAAAGCAGACTGCTTGGCCTATACTAGGAGTACCAGTTGATAATGCAGATTTTTGTCAATAGATGGAGTTACACATATATTGATATGTATGCTATTTTGTTGTATTGACAGCAAGCTTCAAAACTTCACATGTCAAATTTTCTAAGGGTGTTCACATCATAGATATTTTTACACTTAAAAATGTCAAATTTTGTGCCAAAAATAAAAGAGCATTTGCAGGAAGTTTTAATTCATTATTTTGAGGAAAAGTGCTGCTGAAAGTTGTTGTATACTTTGGGAAGCTTATGGTGACCATACTCCTCAAGATACTTGTGAACGCTGGTTTAAATGCTTTAAAAGTGATGATTTCAATGTGAAAGACAAAGAACGTCCAGGCCAACTGAAAAAGTTTAAAGACCAACAATTACAAGCATTATTGGATGAAGATACGTGTCAAATTCTAAAACAACTCGAAGAAAGATTAAATATTGCTCAGCAAACAATTTCCAGTCATTTACAAGCAACAGGCAAGATTTTAAAGGAAGGAAAATGGGTGCCACATCATCTGAATGAAAGACAAATGGAAAACTGAAAAGTCATCAGTCAAATGTAGCTTCAACAGCTCGAAAGAAAGTATTTTTTTGCATTGAATTGTGATGAAAATGGGTTTATTTTGAGAATCCCAAACGCACAAAATCATGAGTTGATCAAGTCAACCATCAACATGGACTGCAAGGCCAGATCGCTTCGAAAAGAAGACAATGCCCTGTGTTTGGTGGGATCAGGAAGGTGTGGTGTATAATGAGCTTCTAAAACTAGGTGAAAGCGTTAATACTGATCACTACTGACAACAAATAATCAATTTGAACCATATTTTGATTGTGAAATGATCAGAATGTGCCAGAAGACATGGCAAAATAATTTTGCTTCATGATGATGCACCATTACTCACTTCAAAAAGTTAAAGACACGTTAAAAGATCTTGCCTGGAAAATATTAACTCACCTGCTGTGTTCACCAGACCTTGCTCCTTCAGATTATTACTTGTTCCAATGGATGGCACATGCACTTTCTGAGCAGCACTTCAAAACGTATGAAAAAGTGGAAAATTGGGTCTCTGGATGGTTTGCCTCAAAAACAAGGAAAGTTCTATTGGAATGGTAACCACAAATTACCTGAAAGATGGGAGAAATGTGTAGGTAGTGATGGACATTACTTTGAATAAAGCACTCTTGATGTTTCTCTTGAAATTATCGTGCTTTTGTTTATTACAAAATCCGCATTCCTAAACGGCAAATGTAGTAATATGTGTCTAATTATTATCTTTTCCTTTGACTCTTTTGTGAATTATAATAGCTAATATTTTAGGTGTCTTTTCTGTGACACTATTCTATGTGTTTTACATGGGTAAATTAATTTAATCCATATAAAAACTCTATACAATAGAAACTATAAGTATGGGGTACAGATGAGAAAACTGAGACCATGTGGTTTAAGCAACTTGCCTAAGATCACACAAGTAGGAAACTGCAGAGCCCAAATTTGAACCCAGTAGTTTCATCCAATTTCAGAGGCAGTGAAATAGTCATTGAATGTCTATTTTGACTCCATGATAAGAAATAAATCTTACATTGTAACTCAGCACATGTGTATGAAAGTTTTACAACCTAATATTTACCCTTATTATACGTAATATGTTTTGATAGTTTCTCTTTAATTTAATTAAAACAACTTATTTAATGATATATTAAATCAAAAGCACATTTGAAAAGTCATTTATTTAAATTTCAATTAATCTAACTACTCTTATCTTCCAGATACCTCAACTTTTACTAGAATAACTCTAATGGTTATCAGTTTAGACTTTTATATTTCATTTAAATTTCAGATAAAGTCCTTATTAGTTAAGATGCTGATCAACCAAGACTCTGCTCTATTATCCATTGCAAACACTTCTGCAATTATTGAAAATCCATGTTATCAGGTCGGATTCAAGCAATTCTTTCACTTCCCAAAAAAGATTTTCCTCTATAAAAGCTCTTAATATAAGGTACCCTGTGATGGAACTATTTATGCACTAGACTCTAACACCCTAAAGGCGGGAACCATGTTTTAGAAACACTTCCGTAGACCCAAATAGTGAATTGAATCAGAGAATACAGGAGCTGGTGATAAATAATTCTGACTTTTGCTCAGCTGGCTGTGGTTCAGTTATTACTCTCAATCCTGACCTTTGTGAGCTAACATGTGAGCCGAGTGTTTATTTCTGTAGATAGGGTATATTTCTGAGTGCAAACTATGTCAAAAGGTAAATAAATACAACAAAGAGAAAGCCCTTGACTAGGAACTAGGGGGGGAGGGAGTCTTTTAAATTCTGAGCAAAATGTGGAGGAAGTTTCCCCTTTTTATATCTTTCCAGTCCTTTTGTCTCCCAAATAAGGGTTTTCCAGTCCTCTTTGCAAGTTCTTTTTTTTTTTTTTTTTTTTTTTTATATATGTTTTTTATTAATTTCAGGGAGGAAGGGAGAAGGAAAAAGAGAGAGAAACATCGATGATGAGACTCATTGATTGGCTGCCTCCTGCACGCTTCCTACTGGGGATCGAGCCTGCAACCCAGTCATATGCCTTTGACCGGAATTGAACCTGGGACCTTTCAATCCATAGGCTGACACTTTACCCACTGAACCAAACTGGCTAGGGCCCTTTGCAAGTTCTTAAAGAGCCCTATGTGCTGAAGCTTTCAGACCTCAACCAAAGGCCTGGCCAGGCACCAGCACTGATAACTTCATCTGGTGGTGTTTTATAGTCTCTCTAAAATGAGAGTAAAAAGGTCTTTCAGGACCAGACAATTAAAGGGGCAGTGACTAGATTCAGATTGCTAGTCTGCCAAAATGTCTCTTTTTCCCTATCTTTTCCCTCCTTTGATCCACAAGCTGATTTTCAGCTTTGGGGTTTCAATAGAAGACTTCAAGCTGTGTTTAATCTCTTTTTAAAATTTTTATTACCTAAGGGATTGTGATGATAGACCAAAAATCTGATCTGGAGTAATATCTAGGACTTACTATAATAATTCTATCTATTAGCTGTTTTAAACCTGCTGGCTCTCTTAGAGGAAGAGAGAGGGAGTCTGCACAGGTTTATTTCTTGCTTTAGAGCAGTTGGAGTGGTGAGAATCACGTTTCAGAGTTCCATCTATTTATTTCTTTAATTGGCCCATCTTCCGTGTTCTGCTCATGTCTGTCTTATTGCCTAATATATCTCCTCAAGGATCATGGCTCTGAAAGGACGTCAGGGAAAGTGGACATTAGTGGACTCCTCTGACTACTTCTATGCTGAAGAGGGATGGCGTTTTTTGTTTTGTTTTTGTTTTTTCAGAGCCAGGAGATCCTTGCTGTCAGAGGGATGATGAGGCCTGGGTACAGAAGGAGGTGGGCTTGTGACCTGGTGGAGACAAAATGTATTATAAAATTTAGTGTTATTTGGCAATTAGAATAGCAAGAGTTACAACAAATATTTTGGTGGAAGGGAAAGAAAATATTTCAGTTCTAATAACTTCTATTGAAATAGAATTTTTCTCCTTAAAATCACCCTTATGTTTATTAAAGAGCCAAATTAAGACCAATTTATCTATTGTATTCAATTTGGCCTGATTATTTGCATAAACATAATAAGAATGTTAACGGACTACCTTTCCTGGAATTTCATAAGTGAATCTTTTTTTAAAATTTAGTATTTATTGTTCAAATTATTACAATTGTTTCTCCTTTTTCCCCCCATAGCTCCCCTCCACCTGGTTCCCACCCCACCCTCTGCCCTTACCTCCCCCACACTGTCCTCATCCATAGGTGAACGATTTTAGTCTAGTCTCTTCCTGTGCCCCTCATACCCTTTCCCCTCTGATTATTATCAATCCACTCCCTTTCTTTGCCCCTGATTCTATTATATTCATCCATTTATTCTGTTAATCAGATTTTTAATTCACTTGATTTTTAGGTTCACTTGTTGATAGATATGTATTTGTTGTTCATAATTTTTATCTTTACTTTTTTCTTCTTCTTCTTAAAGAATACCTTTCAGGATTTCATATAATACTGATTTGGTGGTGATGAACTCCTTTAGTTTTTTCTTATCTGTGAAGCTCTTTATCTGACATTCCAATCTGAATGATAACTTTGCTGGATAGGGTAATCTTGGTTGTAGGTTCTTGCTATTCATCACTTTGAATATTTCTTGCCACTCTCGTCTGGCCTGCATAGTTTCTATTGAGAAATCAGCTCCCTTGTAGGTAATTAACTGATTTTCTCTTGCTGCTTTTAATATTCTCTCCTTGTCTTTAGCCCTTGGCATTTTAATTATGATGTGTCTTGGTGTGGTCCTCTTTGGATTCCTTTTGTTTGGGGTTCTGTACACTTCCTGGATTGTAAGTCTATTTCTTTCACCAGGTGGGGGAAGTTTTCTTTCACTATTTCTTCCAATATGTTTTCAGTATCTTGCTCTCTCTCTTCTTCTGGAACCCCCATAATTTTGATGTTGGTATGCCTGAAGTTGTCCCAGAGGTTCTTACACTTTCAACTTTTTGGGTTCTTTTTTCATTTTGCTTTTCAGGTTGAGTGTTTTTTGCTTCTTTGTATTTCAAATCTTTGACTTGATTCTTGTGTTCCTCTAGTCTGCTGTTGAGTCTCTGTAATATATATATATATTTCAGTCAGTGTAGCTTAATTTCTAGTTGGTCCCCTTTCATATTTTTAAGGGTCTCATTAAATTTGTCAGCCTTTTCTAGGAAATTCTTGAAAACATTATAACTTGTTTTGAATTCTATATCTAGTCGTTTGTTCTCCTCCATTTCTTTCATTTGTGATCTTTTTTTTTTTTTTTGTCTCCATATTTTCACTGCTTTCCTGAGTTGGTAGGGTAGCTTTGTGTGGTAGGTTTCCTATAAGGCCTGGTGGGTCAGCCTCCCCAGTTACCTGAGGTGGACAGTCTTGGTGCTCCCCTTTGTGGTCTGTGTGTACAGCCTTATTGTAGTTAAGTCTTGATTGTTGGCGTTACTGGGAGGAATTGACTTCCAGGCCAATTGGCTGTATCAGCTGTGTCTACGCTAGGATACCTTGTGTATTGGAGACAGCCTTATAGGACCAGACTTACAAAATTGCAAAAACCTCTGCGCTCAGCTTGGATGGGGTGGAATCTCAGGGCTGAGCAGACAGTCTTGGCTTTTTGTCAGCCTTGCCCTTATGTACGCCCCTCCTGACCTCTGCCTTCCACGTATCCCATGAGTTTCCGCCTGACAGTCCAGATTCCCCCCATAAGAGTGTGGGTCCTCCAGGGGCTCACCTGGAACTGGGTTTCAGTGCGGTCAGAACTGAAACTCAAGGCAGTCAGGAGCTTCTGACTCCATTCACTATGGAAAGCCTGTGGCAACCTCCACAGTCAGACCTCTCTGTGCGCACTTAGGCTCGCCCTCCCCCCCAGACTCCTGCCCACTGCAGCTCCCCCAAGTCTCCAAGTCTCCAGAGTCTCCGTGTTCCTTTCTCTACTGTCCAGACTCCACCCTTATGAGCCTGGATTCATGGGGTTTTGGCCAGAGCTGGGGTTCAGTGCAGTCAGAACAGGGGTTCACTGCAATCAAAACTGGGGTTTAGTGCAGTTGGAACTGGGGTTCAGTGCAGTCAGGGGCTTCCTTTCCCCTCCCGCCAGCCAGTAAGGTTGCCCTTACTCTCTGAGTGTCTCCGTACCTCAGCCCTTTGAGGCTCCTCTGATCCGTGAGCTTTTCTCTTTCCTTCTAGTTGTAGAATTTCCACTCAGTTTTGGATGATGTCCATTCTGTCTTTTAGTTATTGTTTTGGAATTGTGCAAAGCAGCAGTTGTGCTTACCTAGTCCACCATCTTCGTTTCTTCTCATGATTGAATCTTAATATGCCCTGTAGGGTCAGGAAGCCAAGCCATCCAGCTGCTGTTAGACCTGCCTGTAGTATCTGCTGAGTTAGGTGAACTTCTCACCTGTAGCGATTCCACCTGGGCCCACATCCTAGGCTTTAAGGCCCATCTCAGCAGCCCTTCTACTCGTTTCGGCCTAGAATGCATGTGGGTTCCACAGGGATGCAGAGACGCCCTTATTGCTCCCCTTCTACTCTGACCAACTGCCAGTGATGGTAGGGTATGGGCCTGACACTCCAGTGCCATCTATTTTCAGGTCTACCAAGCAGGATACCAGGCTTTCTCCTTGACCTTCTTCTTGGCTTCAAGTCTTCAGAGTTCAGGCAGGGCTCTTTAAAACATGATACTCCAGTCAAAATTTTTGGTCAATAAAACCACTATTGGAAACAGGTCTTACTGAATTTATGCAAAGAAATGTATTGCCAAATTTCGGAGGAATTATATAAGGAGAAAAATATACTGACCTGCTTTAAGATTTTCTGATTTTCCTTTTCATGGACTCTTTAATATTTTTCTAAATGTATTATAGTAAAGCAGTAACTGTTTTTCAATGATAAGAAGAAATTTAAAATGCACCTATACTCAAGTAGACAGTTATGGCTGCCCCTGTAGTAGGGTTCCCCCTAATTGACTTATCCTTAAACAACATATGGCCTTGGGGGGGAGAAGGGGTGTGACACACTCTCTCAGAACGGACTAAGAGAATAGCTTCTCTACAAGAGTTTTATCCCTTTACAGGGTCTTATATGTCATAGCATCTATTTTGAGGACTGGTACTCAGCACTTTCCTGTTCTAAATAGGCCTTCTCTACTGTCCCAAAGTTGAGGTTTGTGCTACCCCTGATTTAGGCATGGTCACACAGGCCTGCAAGGCAGTACATAGGCTGCCAACTGTCTCTCAATAGAGACCAAAATCTGATAGGTATTTCTCCTTGCCCATTTGGGCATCTGCCCTTTTGGCAGCTAGGTACCCTTTACTTCTTTTGGGGTTTAACCCTATATAACCCCATTCCAGGACAGCTATCATATGACTATAACAATGATGCTTAGTGTGGGAAACTGGACATTTGCCAGTTATTCCCAAAGACTACTAAAGCCTGTGGACCTATATAGGTCTATAGTAATTGGTGGCAGTTCCATTCAAATCTGAAAGAGAATTAAAGGTGAATATAATATTATTAACAAATGAAACATAATATTGGCACCGAGGCAGCATCCCTTGCCATTAAACATGATACATGGTAAAACCACATAAAACACCTCTTAGAGAGTGCGACTAAAGTTCACTGTAGACCCTGTTATACAAAAGTAAACTGTCCTTGACTCTCTGGAGTCATATCCATGGAGAAGGCACCAATTAAGTTCATCACGTAGTTTTCTCTAAGTCACAGTTATCAAATGCCATTGGCTCCTCTTTGCTGGTCACACGGGACACCTGTGGGGCTGTGTGCGGAGACCATTCTTCTTCACTCTAGCCGCAAACAGCCTGCCCAATCTCCCTAGAATGTATTCTGGCATGGGAGAAAGTTGTTTTGCTGTACACAGGCAGCTTAACCCCTATACAACTGGGCTTGGACATGTGCCCAGAAGGCTGCAGTCCACATTAGCAAGTTTATCCTGCAGTCTCCAGTCCTGCCAACTGAGGCTCCGGCCAGTGCCTCAGTCAGACTTCTCCTCTCCCAGGAGAGTCTCAGAATCCTGAAGGCCTTCTGGTCCAGGGAGAGTGTCTTCCCTCCACCCTCTTCTGTTCTAAACAGGCCTGGTAAATGCTGTTTACCAATTATAGGGCCTTGCCATCCTTGTCTTTTACTGCCCTTTGACTTTTTAACCTGCCAGCCTAAAATAGCCAGGACTGCAGTTAGAAACAACTTTGCATATTGCTAAGTACTCTGGAGGCTGCAACCTGGGCATCAGGCCTCCTGCCTTCCCTCTTGTCCCCTTTGTGGCAGAGCAGTGACCAGGCCTCTCCCAAGGGGGTGTACTGGAAGGGAATATTAGCCCCTCCTCTCCCAGCAGCAGAAGATACTGGCAGCTGCTGTTGTAGTTCTGAACCTTTTAGCACATTTGCAAACAGGGAGTTTTCACTAGCTCCATTGCTGGCTGCTTTCACAGATTCCAGGGCTCACTGCTTGTCTCCCTTTAACTAGTAAACTAAACGCTTAAGTCTTTCATTGCATGTTGTAAAACACTTATAACTCACTTGGCAGCAAGTTGGGTGTTGGGTCACTGGCATCCCTGGCTTATTGCTGCAGTTTCTGCTTCTCCAGGTGCTACAGGGGCTTGGGTATGGATAGCAAATGACACTGACTGGATTTCTATTAGTCTTCCTCAGTACTTTCATATGTTATTTACCCTTTGTTAGGAAGGCAAAATGCAAATTATTTACTTTTCCTGGCTTACTGGCCTGTATTATTTAATTATTTTCCTTTTAATATTTCTCTTCTCCTGATTACATACATAACCTTTATAAATTTTATATTTCTAAATTAACTTTTAAATCTTTAAAAACGCAAAACCATGCCTCAGACCTTTCATTAAGTATTCTTTTTGCTATATCTTAATAACTTGTACTGGCCTTTTCTTTCTTTTTTCTTTAAAATGTATTAGAATTCCTTATTCTTAGAAGCCTCTATCTTTCAATGATTACCAAAAAGTAAACAGTCAGCATTTCTTAGATTAACATTTATGATAATACTTTAAATATACTTTTGCTTTTAAGAAAGCATACCTTTAACAAAGTACAAGAGACCTTCTGTGATAAAACTAAGAGCAAGCAAGTTAATACATGTAACATAGTTAGTTTTCTGTTTTTGCCTTTCTTAATTTTATGTGCATAGATTTTCCGAGCCTCTTTTAACAGCGTTATTTAGGTTCTGAGTCCCACTGGAGCTCCTGGGGTTAGAAATCTTCTATCTGCTGGGAGCACACCAGGCCAGCCAGGTGCTTCCTTTCCCAGATAACTATAGCCAACTTTCAAATTATCCCCCCTTCTTTTGCTAGTCAGCTGAGCCACCTGGGTCTTCTAGCAGAGTTTTGAATTCTTTTTTTATTGCTTTAACTCCTTTCTTCTGATGGCGCAGTGGCCTGATGGCGGTTGGGACCTTAAGATAGCTCTCCTCTCAAGGGGGAGGCTGGGATTGTAAAACACCATCTTGACTGTTCCCTTCTATCATCTCTGAAAAACTTTATTTAAATTCTCTATTATACCTTAATAACTTTCATATTTGGTCTTGACTATATAATTAATCCTTTTCTTTTCAGGCCAATAATGTATTGTATTTTAAAGTTCCTTTGCTGAACATTCTGACGCAGCCCAAGAAGCACCCAGTAATCTCGCCCTGCCAGGCTCAGAGACAGAAACCTTTCTAATGTGGCTGGACAATGAGATTTTCTTTATATGTATTGGAAGGGTTAAAGAGAATAAAACGGGGCAGAAAAAGATTTATTGTGTTTTGCAGAAAGCTTGTGGCCTTGAGTCAAGCATAGATCAGATAAGACACCTGGTAAGAAACCAAGGATGGACTAGACCCCCATGCCAGCAGAGCGGTTTGCAGCCAGCAAAAATAAACAAAAACCTATCCCTGCCGATGCCCCCTCCCTGTCTTTCTGCATTAACCATTTACTCTGTTCTTAGTAGGGGCAACAAGCCAAGTGGTCAGAGATCCTATGTATCAAGGCTTTTTATACTTGACACATCCTTTTCTCTGTAACAGCTGCTCTTCCTCCCAGATTTTTCTTTCTTTATTCTAAGTCCCAGAAGGATTTCAAATCCTCCTCCTCCTCCTTTACCACTTTTGATCTCTCTGACCACCACCCCTGTCCCCTAGCCTAGGGCTCCTCAATCTCAGCAGGCTGAGAGCATACCACCCTACCCAGTGAATCCCACCGCCACCACCCCACCTCACACCCGCTCATGAACAGTTTTCAGCCTTGCTCCTCCAGTCAGAGTGGATGCTGTTCCTAAGAGAGATCCACAGCAAATCTATCAGGAAGGGCAGGCAGGTTGCAGGTCTCAGGACCACGATTCTCTGCTTGCTAGAAGGGCCAAAAAAGGCAGCCACAAAGCAGTTAATTATGAAAAGTTAGCAGAAATCACCCAGAAAGTCATAAAAATCTGGCAGTCTTTTTAGCGTTACACAGGCCATGAGAAAATGTACTAATTTTAACCCAACAGGCTTTAATTTAGCAGGGGAGAAAAGGGTAGTGGTCTAGCCTTTGTTTAAATTTCTCTGGGTTGCAACCTTTACAAATTTTACACTTTTAAATTAACCATAGACTTTTAGAAATTAAACCCAACAGAACAAAATCAAAGATCAGAGAAGAGCAAATTAAAGTCCCTACTGTACAAATATAGACAGAAATTTCATTAGCTAAGCAGGCTAATTCCCTCCATGATAGAGTAAGAATGACCTTGAGAAAAGAATTCTTAGCAGCTGCTTGGGACAGCTGCAGTCTGCCAGAGCCCAGCCTCACCATACACATTTAGGCTTCCCCCTAAAGCGGGGTTTGCCCTATCTTTAAATACTCTCACGTGTACAGCCAGACGGCACAAAGTTGCTTTCGCTTCACACAGGCTCTCACACTTACATGCATACACTATAGTCCGAGTTTTGATTTTCACCCACAGAAAATCCCTAAGGCAAATATTTTGCCTAAGTAGTGTTCAGTTACTTTTTCTGCCCATAAAGGCATGCCTGAACTTGGACTGCACTGAGTTTAAACTGTCCACCCGATTCCTGACTGATTTACTGACCAAGCTCCCCTTCCACTCTTTTGGAGTGGGCCTGACTACCTGGGGCCCCTACCTTACTGTTTCTGTTAACAGATCCAGAAGTGTTTGCCCACTTTCTCCAGATGACAGTCGGGTTTTAGGCTGAGGTCCTGGAGCACCCGAAGCCCCCCAGTTCAATTCCACTAAATCAGCAGAGTGGCGCCTCCCAAAGGCCTATCCGGCACCCCCAAGGCCCCAACCTCCCACAGAGGACAAAAAGACCAGTGTGGTTGGGCTTCATGGTCAGGGAACCAGATGTTACAGAAGACTGGAGAAAAACCAAGCAACACTTAAAGTTACACTTTATTATTATTATGCCAGCAGGGCCCTGACCGGTGTGGCTCAGTGGATAGAGCATCGGCCTGAGGACTGAAAGGTCCCAGGTTTGATTCCGGTCAAGGGCATGTACCTTGGTTGCAGGCACATCCCCAGTAGGGGGTGTGCAGGAGGCGCTGATTGATGTTTCTAGTTCTCTATCCTTCGCCCTTCCTCTCTGTAAACAATTATGCCAGCAGGCTCAGAAAAACAATGTCTTTCAAATTTTGAGCAAAATACGGAGGAAGTTTTCCCTTTTTATATTTTCCAGCCCTTTTGACTCCCAAATAAGGGTTTTCCAGTCCCCTTTGCAAGTTCTTAAAGAGCCCCAGGTGCTTTGCCAGCACTGATAACTTCCTGGGGATGGTTTACCACCTCTCTAAAATGGGAGTAAACAGGTCTTGCAGGACCAGACAATTAAAAAGGCAGTGACTAGATTCAGATTGCTAGACCCCAAAATGTCTTTTTTCCCATCAACAGCTAGCTGTTAGTCATGTGACAGTTCTGGAAGGGGTGAATGTGATTTCCAGAAAGACTTTACAGTGTGCTGACTCAGCTAGATTTGTCCATTTTGCCCTTGCCCTCTTCATTATGCTGCCAAGAATTTCAAATGATGACTGATGAATGACAAGTGGCTATTTTGGACCATGAGGTGACCTTGAAAATGGAACCATGTTATGGGGCAGAGGAGCTCTATACTGATCTTGAATTACCAACCTCTGGAATACTTTTCCGAGAGATACATTTCTTGTTTAACCTTTTGCTGATTTGGGTTGTCAGAAGAGAAAACGAGCCCAGGCCAGTGTAGCCTATGATTAGAGTGCTGGCCTGCAAACGGAAGGGTCATGGGTTAGAATCTTGGTCAAGGGCGCATGCTCCTGGATTGCAGACTCAATTCCCAGGCTGAGTCGGAGCACGTGCAGGAGGCAATCAATCAATGTCTCTCTCCCTACCTTCCACTTTCTCTAAAAATCAATGGGAAAATATATCCTTGGATGAGGATTAATAAAAAACACAAAAACAAGCTAACACCCCCCCACCCCCCCCCACCAAAAAAAAAAAGAGAGAGAGAGGAAATTAGAGTTGGAACAAAGCAAATCTTGTCCAATGCCACACAACTGTCTTCTTGGACATTAGGCTGTGGAAGCCAGATTACCTCACCCTAGGATTTTAAAAGCATGGTGGCACCCTGGCCCTGTGGCTCAGTTGATTGGAACGTTGTCCTATACACTGAAAGGTCATAGGTTCCATTCCCAGTCAGGACACATACCCAGGTGGCAAGTTCAATCCTGGGTCAGTCAGGACTGCTTCCCCAATGCACCTCTTACTGGGGATCGAACCCTCCATCTCTCAGTGTACAGAATATGACACTCAGATGACAATGCTCCAACCAACTAAGCCACACTGCCAGACTTCTACCCTGGCAGGTGTTGGTCAGTGGTTAAGAGTGTCAGTCTGTGGACAGAAGAGTCTAGGGTTCAAATTCCAGTCAAGGGCACATACCTGAGTTGCAGGTTCAATACTTGGGCCAGTTGGGATGCATTGTGGTATGTAACCAACCAATCTCTCTCTCTCACCCTTCCCCCTCTCTCACCTCTCTCTCTTTTCTTCCCTCTCCCCTTTCTTCCCTTCCACTCTCTCTAAATATCAATGGAAAAATATCTTCAGATAAGGATTAACAACAACAACAACAACAAAAACAAAGAAAAATCAGACCTCTTTTAAGTTGCCTCCTTAATACTACTGCTATATTAAAATGAATTACCATTCATTGTATTATTATAACATGCTTTAAAAGAGCTGAACTTTCAAACAGGCTAAGATACATTTGAATAAGAAATTAGTAAAATGAATGTGTTACTGTTTTGAAATCATAACAGACTTATTAATTAATGTAGGGTTGACAATCTTTAAGATGAAAAGGCAGAGGTAGGAGTCTTTTCATTAAAATGCAGATAAAATTAAATAGGATTGATTCAACATAAAAATTTTAATAAGGCAGATGTCAAGCAAGCATATTGACGTCTTAAAAAACAAAAAAAATATAAAAGTTTCATTACAAAAACATTTATACAGAAAACTTGGCATTTCAACAGTTTCAAATATGTACACACATTTTTTTCTAAAATTTAATTTTGTTAGAAATAAAATACTTTGCCTCACTTTCCTCAGCTGTCCCTTAAGTTTTAAAATTACAAAAATCTATAACATTGAATAGGGAACAACTGATTTCTTGAGAAGAACATAAATGCAGTAATATCTATAAGGTTATTGGAAAGCATGAATTAGGTATCATATTAGTCTGTAACCTCATTTGCTACCTCTTGGTTGGCCACAGAGGAGAGAGGAGGCAACACAGAGGTGCTTTATGAGACCTGATGGTATGGTGGCAGTTGAATCCCAGCCACCAGTGAGTCAGGTATGTAGCTGCCGGGAGAGCCAGCATTTCAAAAGCAGGCTGCTTATTTGTGAAAACCATTTCAGACTGTAGGCTTTTTCAAGAGCTTATACATTTCTGAATAAGCAGATGTTTTAAGTCAATGTCAGATGTTCTATATCTAGAGTCAGGAGAATGTTATCTTTGGACTAAGTAATAGCCTTTCCTGGTTAACAGAACTCTAACATAGCTGCACAAAACTAACAGAGGGAAGAAACAAGGGAAATATCAGGAGGAAGAAAAATCAAAAGGCATCAGGCAGAAGGCAGTCACAAATTTCCAGAACTGGCTTGGATGTCCTTCTGCTAGATGGTGTGTTCTAGGTTGGATTTAGCAGGCAAGGAATCTAAGAGAAGTGACAGCACCAGCAGTGACAGATGAGAACAGAATAGGAAAATATGGAAAAAAGCAGGTGAGCTGGCAAGGATTATAGCAATAAGCAATAGATAATGATGGGCTTTTATTCTAAAATATTGCCAAGTGGTGATATGTGTTTTTTTTTTTTTTTTTTAAATATATATTTTATTGTGTTTTGTTTGTTTGTTTTTGTTTTTTGGTTTTTTTTACAGAGAGGGAGAGGGATAGAAAGTTAGAAACATCGATGATGAGAGAGAGACATCGTTCAGCTGCCTCCTGCACACCCCCCACTGGGGATGTGCCTGCAACCAAGGTACATGCCCTTGACTGGAATCGAACCTGGGACCTTCCAGTCTGCAGGCCGACACTCTATCCACAGCCAAACTGGTTTCGGCAATATGTGGGCTTTAGTGCATGGAAATTTGATGTGTGTTCATATGAGACATTAAAAAAAGCTGTCTGCCTGGCTGGTGTGGCTCAGTGGTTGAGCGTCAACCTATGAACTTGGAGGTCCTGGTTCGATTCCCAGTCAGGACACATACCCGGTTTTCAGGTTCAATCTCCAGTGTGGAGCATGCAGGCGTCAGCTGATCAATGATTCTGTCTCATCGTTCATGTTTCTATCTCTCTCTCCCTATATGAAATCAATAATAAAAATATATTTAAAAATTAAATTAAAAAGGCTGTCTCCCCACCTCTTTGGGCTATTGAAGAAATCAGGTAAGAAGATGCTGAAAAGACAGGATGGTACAGCAATGTCACCAGGGGGTTTCCGACTTGCACCCTGATTTGTGAGAATGTTGTGAGGAGGCCACATGTCCACCTGCATTAGTAGTGTGGAGTCTTTGGTTCCAAAGACCAGAGCTGCAGCAGTCTTGTGTTTGTAGAGCATCAAGACAAAACCAAACCTTTAGGGGTGAATTGGGAACCCTTCTCTTTTGGTGTTTAAAAAAATGTACTTACTAAAGGGGGAAAAAGGAAGGAAAACCTGTTCTTTTGCATATATGATTATAGAAGGAAGACAAAAGACATGAGAATTCCTCTGTGTCCTTTCTTGTCAGCTCAAGAGACTATTGTGATGACATCTCAGCCTAACCACTCCTGTGAATCAGTGTACCTAAAGCAGAGTCAGTTTTTACTTATGATAAACGTTTTTTCCTCCCAATGCCAAACGAGACTATTTTTTTCTGTTCTCTCCTATTTACCAAAGACTTTTCTGAATAAGCAGATGTTTTAAGTCAAAACATCAGGCAGAAGGCAGTCACAAATTTCCAGAACAGCAAAAAATGTTCCAGAAGACATTGTCAACAGCTGGGCTGGAATGCAGGGTATGTGCAGGAGCTAAGTTCAGAAAACAGCAGGCAGGACTGAGGAGGAAGGAAAGCTTATTCTCAGGGTAGCAATCACAAAATCTCCATGAGGGCTGGCACCCACTGCACACTGTGGGGGACAGGGAACAGTCTCCGCCACAGAACATAGTTAAAAAGAAGCTCCTTTCTTTGGAGTCACAGTAGGATAAAGATAGAAGATTGGGCCTGTTCAATAAGAGAAACTCTCCTTCAGAACTCTGCTGAGCAACGAAGCCCAGAGGTCAGAAAATGGAGATGTGTAATTTGGTGGGGGTTAAGGGAATAAAAAGATAACAACCAAAGGCATTAAAAAAGTGACAGGTAGATAAGAAAACCAGAGCACCACTGATAAAAAGGGTCTAAATCTTAAGTAGAACAATGAGAAGGCTTCCTTTATGCTGTAGAAGATGACAAGAGGATATATGCAGATCCAATTTAACAGAAAAGCAGATGACAGAAAACTGAAGACTTAGGAGAGTGGCTGCACACTTTCAAAGCTTCGCAAAGACGATTCCATAGGGAGCTCATAAACATGTTCTTTTTGCTGCTCCCTCAGATGGCTTCCTGGGTGAAGGCATTTAACTCACAGCTGATAGTTCCTTCACAAGCAGAGTCATCTGTACTCCTCTGCTTCTACTCAGTTCAAATTTTCACAGGTGGCTTCTCATTCCTCACATCTTGGAGCTCTAATACCTGTAGGTGAGGGGGTAATGGGGGGGAGAGAGAGTAAGAGAGAGAGAATGGGGGAGGGAGAGAGAAAGAGGGAAAGGGAGGGAGGGAAAAAGGGGGATGTAGGAAAATTATTTAGCTGAACACAGATAAGCAACTATCAGGAACAAATCTGACGACAGAAAAATCAGTACTATACTTTAGTCCAAAGAATGGATAGTCAATTAAAATCCTTTTTCTTCAAGTATAAGTCTAAGAATCTCTGCATGTGTAGGAGACTCAATTGCAATCAAGTATTTTCTCCAACCCTCAATCAGCCAGATATTTATCATTCGTTTAGACTGAAATCAAGCAACATATGGATTTTGATAGTTTGTATATAAAGTGGTCATCTCTCAATATGAAATCACCCCCAAGGCCTCCCAGAGCCATATTTTTTTCTAGGTACAGGTTAGCCATGAGAGAGATGCCAGCTGGGATAATTCTTCCATTGTAAATCTATAAAAATAATTTTTTACTTGATTGACCAAAATTTTATATATTATAATTACTAGATTGTTTTTTTTTCTATTTACCTCTTATTTATCTTAATGCTTTCATTCTAAAAAATTTTATGCTTTCCCCTTACACACTTGCACCTCCTTAATAACGTTTTAGAAACTCCACTAATCCAGAGTTTTAATATACCAGTATGTGTTCTACACCTGGATTCTGTACTCGTCTACATAGTTATTTCCAGGTAAGACATTTTGCCTCTTTGGAAATCAGTTTCTTTATATGTAAAAATATTGGAATTTCTAAAGGTCCCTTCTTGTGCTAATTTGCTCCTCTAAAATGAGAAACCATTAGCTTCTCTTCTATCCTGACTCCTTACAGTGGCACCACAAATGCTAAGGACATCAGGTCTACGTATCTGTACATATTTGTATAATGAAGCCAACCTAGTATTAATCGTAATATTTATAACTGTTTTGTTTGACAGTTTTGAGGGTATCGGGTATCCAGTTTTAGTTATGATTGCATGGCTAGATTGTAAGAATCTATAAGTAATAAAATGATTCACATTTTCAGGTATTTTTTCAAGGGAAAAATATTTGTAGTTTAAAATAAAGAATAATAACATTCTAGGTTTTCAAAGACACTTTGGCCCTGGCCAGTGTGGCTCATTGGTTGAATGTTTTTTGTTGGTTCCATTGAGGTATGTGTAGGAGGCAGCGGAGCGATGTATCTCTCTCTCTCTCAGAAACAAAAATTAGTAAAGACATTAAAAAAAAAAAGACACTTCTGCCAAAACCAGTTTGGCTCAGTGGATAGAGCATCAGCCTGCGGACTAAAAGGTCCCAGGTTCGATTCCGGTCAAGGGCATGTACCTTGGTTGCAGGCACATCACCAGTGGGGAGTGTGCAAGAGGCAGCTGATTGATGATTCTCTCTCATAGATGTTTCTAACTCTCTATCCCTCTCTCTTCCTCTCTGTAAAAAATCAATAAAATATAATTAAAAAAAAAAAAGACACTTCAGAAAACAGATACTATAGTTTATATCCCTAAAATTGGTAAAGGACCATCTTATTATTAGGATAATGCTCAACACAGAAAACCACTTGTGGCTCAAAAATAACTGCCCTATATTTATGTGAGGTGACACCATGTTATCTGTTATTGTGTTCTTTCACAATATCCTATACCTGTGGTCGGCAAACTGTGGCTTGAGAGTCACATGTGACTCTTTGGTCCCTTGAGTGTGGCTCTTCCACAAAATACCACAGCCTGGACGAGTCTATTTTGAAGAAGTGGTATTAGAAGAAGTTTAAAAAATTTGGCTCTCAAAAGAAATTTCAATCATTATACTGTTAATATTTGGCTCTGTTGACTAATGAGTTTGTTGACCACTATCCTACACTGTTTCTCCCAGCTCTCTCTTTTTAAGCCCATAAGAAAACACTATGTGAAAATGAGAAAAATGATGAGCTCCTCAAAACCCAGGCCTAGATTTACAAGCTGTTCCTTTCACAAAAAGCAAAAATAATGCTAGTGCTTTATTCTGCAGGCAGTATAGCCATCCTATATAATAAAGAGGTAATACGCAAATTAATCCTCATACCCTCACAAGATGGCTGCCTACGGCAACCAGGCTGGCAGTGGGGTTAGTGAGGGATGACCAAACAACTGAACAGCAGTCTGTGAAGGGCAACCAGGCTGGAAGAGGGGCCATGAGGGGCAACCAGGCCAGTGGGGAGGTGGGGAGGCAGTTGGGGGTGATTAGGTTGGCAGAGGAAGGCAGTTAAGGATGACCAGACCAACGGGGGTGGGGGGCAGTTAGTGGCAACCAAGCCGGCAGAGGGGGAAAGTTGGGGGCGACAGTAAGGGGTGACCAGGTTGGCAGGTGGGTCAGTAAGGAGTGACCAGGTTAGCAGGGAGGGGACAGTTGGGGGCGACCTGGCTAGCAGCAGGGGGCAGTTAGGGGTGACCAAGTAGGCGGGGGGGGGGGGGGGCAGTTAGGGGAGACCAGGCAGGGAGGCAGGTGAATTATTAGGAGCCAGTGGACCAGGATTGTGAGAGGGATGTCCCCCAAGGGGTCCTGGATTGGAGAGGGTGCAGGCTGGGCTGAGGACTCCCCCATCCTTGTGCATGAATTTTGTGCATTGGGCCTCTAGTATCTTATAAGTATAGTTCCTTCCACCTGACCACTCACTAGAAAAACAGCAGTCCTTTCTCCATCAGATCATGGCTGAGGCAAAAGTATAATGAGCTGCCTTGTATAGTTATCATCTAAGGGCATGGCCAAGAAAGATAAAGACTAATGCTTCTGTCTCTGCTAGCAGATATTGCCTAATTAGATAAAGAATCATGGAAGCCTAGCCTGGTGCTGGTTAGAGCATTGTCCCAATATGCAAGACAGTATATTGGATCCCCAGTCAGGGTACATACAAGAATCAAGCAATGAATGCATAAATAAGTGGAACAGCAAATCTCTCTCTCTTTAATCAATCAATAATTAAAAAAAAAGAATAACTGATTTTATTTATTTATGTAAATAAATATTGAAAATGAAAATAAATATGTATGCATGTATATGAGTAGGCTCACATACCTGCAGGACAAATAAATAAAAGATTCAAACCCAGGACTGGCCATTCTAAGGAGCATATCCTGCTACCCACTCTTGTTTTAGTATCCACATACAGTCCAACCCTAGGATTTCCACACAGCTTATATGTCTGTAGGCACCGAATAATTTAATTGACAAAGGGCTGTCAATTTTGTGGGATGGTATACTAAAGGGAACTCTTAGGAATTTGAGAGTATCAATACATGTTCCATTTAAAAAATGATACCTGAGACTTACCATTAGTACCAAAATGTTTACATGGGCAGATCCCTCTGGAAATGTACTTTTTGTCTCCTCTGAAAGGACATAACACATACCACTAGTAATTTGTTGAATATACATATATTTTATCTTCACCCAAGGATATGTTTATTGATTTTTTTAGGGAGAGAGGAAGGGAGAGAGAAAGAGAAACATCAATGTGAGAGAGACACATATATTGGTTGTCTCCTGTATGCATAGGGGATTGAACTTCATACCAAGGTATTTGCCCTGACTGGAAATCAAATCTGCAACTTTTTGGTGTATGCGAAAATTGGTGTATACCAATTGAGCCACCTGGCTAGGGCTGTTAAAGTTAATTTTCTCTCTCCTTTCTTTTTTGCTTATTGATAATTTATATTTTAATTAATTTAATCAAGGCACTAACTGTTTCACTGTAAGGTTAGTCCACATTAACATTTAATATAAAACAGCCACTCTATATTCAATGGTGAATAAAAAGCTTCTTATGTTGTAGGTTTATATACATATAATGTCTTATTGACTACTAAATGTAAATTATCATTAATATTTTCCAGGGGAAAGGAAGCTTAAAAATTAAATGATATTTATTTTCTTCTTGTATTTAAGTGCTATTTTGGGGGTGACTTCTTCAAAGTTTCTCTCTCACTCTTCAAAACTCTTTGGGAAGTTAGCACCTGAGAATACGGCAAATGAGTGACAAAGTTATAATGAAGGTTCAACCAGAAAAATCATGCTCTTTCCATTAAAATATGCTGAAGCGTACATGAGTAAAACTGTTTTTCAACATTATTTACGACATTTAGCCAGTATGCATCAGGAATCTTGAATCAAGTCTCTAACTCATTCAGTATAATTCTAAAGCTTTAGTAGTATTGATAAAGTCGAAGGCCATTTTATTTTTGAAGTTGTGCTGGCATATAAATATATCAGTGAGCACTCACCATTCCTTAACGATCAAGTCTGTTTACAACTTCTCGAACAGTAGCTATGAAGTTTTCATTGTCTTGGGGATTAGCTAAAATAATACTGTGCAGTCTGTTCATATATGAATCAATTGTGTCCAGGGTAGGTGTCTCTCCACTTCCTGACATAAGATAAGAAGAAAAAGTCAGAAAATCCTTCCTATTTGGTTCGACCATAATACAATTAAGTGAATCCACAGCAGAAGAAATTATCCCTCTAATATGGTCTCCTCCTCCACAGGCAAAATTTTAATATCAGAGGAGAGACTTGTTTAGACCTCAAAGAAATGTAACCTATATACTCTACATAAACAGACGGGTTTACAATTGTTCTATTTTGTGTATGATTAGCTGCATTATCAAAAGGTTAGAGATTTGCCCAGTTTTATTCTATGACTTACCTCAACATGAAAAAATATATAAGAAATACTAGTGTTTGTTTTCTTCTTCCTTTCCATTAAAACAAAATTACAAAGCAAGCAAATACACCTTTCTTATGTGCTTTAAATCAGGATTTATTACTCAGTTTCTATTGTTCTGAATATCAAATTAAACCTAATAGAAAGTAAGTTTATTAAAATATAGCTGGAAAAAATTTAAATGATCAGAGAACCCAAGATTTTGGGTAATTTATAGCCAATACTGAGATTTTATTGCATGACCCACAAAAAACCCTGAGGGTGAAAAACCTTTATTTTATGGATTTTCCTCTTTGTGGGAGACTTCAGCCTCACCATGCCAATACCAATATGAACAGCATCTCCCACTTTCCGAAGTGCTCAGGTAAGGATGGCATTACCAGGTAAGGGCATGCTGGCAAAGCTGCTGGTCAACACCTGCCGCAGGGTCTCCAGGTGCTGTTGTAAGACAGTGTTGCGGCTTCGCTCCTGGATCACGTCCACTTCCAGCTTCTCCACTGCTGTGCGCATGCTCTCCACGTGCTTCTGCAGGGCTGCATTCCTCTCTTCAAATTCCATGTTGGATTTGCGAAGCTGGCGTAGCTCTGCCTCCCGAGCTGAGGACATCCCCCCAAACACACACAGAACACATGGAGTGCTAGGAATCTCTGAGTAGTCCCAGTGTTTTTTCCAAGGATGTTCTCTCTAATTTAGCCCACTTCATCTCTCTATTCTAATTATAGCCCTCCAAATAGCAATTTAAGGAATGAAACACCTGGCTCCCCAGAGCTAATTTAATTCTTAAAACTGGTCATATTCTATACTTAAATTTATAAGGAACAGTAGCAATTCCAAGTATTTTTGTTTGTTTGTTTTAAACTCTGAAATGAAAAGCCTGAGGGATTTCACAGGGGAACATTGGGACAATGGGCAACCACTTTTGGGTTTCCATCTTTACTACACTGAGGTCAAACTTTGCTCTTATATTATACTAGAGGCCCGGTGCATGAAAACTCATGCATGGGAGGGGGCATCCCTCAGCCCGGGCTGTCCCCTCTCACAGTCCAGGAGCCCTCAGGGGTGAGAGGTGACCCAGAAATCAGGGGAAGGTGACGCCCTCATCATACCTCTGCTGCTGTTACTGCCTGCAGCACAAGCCTTGCCTAGCCCTGGTTACCTGAGCCTCAGGCGGCCCTGGGTGGCTGGGCAGCCATTATCTGAGGCTTGTCTGCATCTCGGGCCAGCCCTGGGTGACTGAGGGGGCTGGGAAACTCCGGAGGCAGGCATGCAGAATGGCTGGACCCACCTGCTGCCCTGCAGGGCTGAGGGGACTGGGTGCCACCATCTTTGAGGGCGTGGCAGTCAATTGGCATATTCCTTCTTTATTGGCTGTGGGCACCATCTTTGAGGGTAGGGCAGTCAATTAGCATATTCCCTCCTTATTGGCTGTGGATGCTGCCATCTTTGCGATGGTGTGAGGGACAATTAGCATATCCCCTCTTTATTAGATATAACTAGAGGCCCAGTGAATGGATTCATGCAAAGGTGGGGTCCCTCCCAGTTGATTGGGCCAGATGCTGGGGAAGGGACTGCAGGAGGTGGGTCGGCCACTGAGGTTGGCTGAGGGAGGGCACTGACCACCAGGGGGCAGTTCCAGCATCTGCCCCCTGGTGGTCAGTGTCCACAACAGCTACTGGCCTGTCATCCAGTCGTCTGGTCATCCAATCATAACGGCCACTTAGGCTTGCATATATATAGGATGTAGGCTTTCATTTGTATAAATGGTTCCAGGTTAATAGTTCGAAAGCAACTGCATTAGTAATGTATATTTATTTTCTTTGATCCAGAGACTAAAGCCGTTTTGACAACACTGGGTTAGTGTTCCTTCATTGGTCTTTGAGTAGTTACATTTACTAGAGAGTAAAATACAATTTTTTTCTTCCAGACCAGTCCTAGGATTTAGAATATCACTATCATTGCTTTTGAGCAATGTATTCCTACTGAGAACAAAATTCCCTGTCACAGACCCAAGTAATACAGAATGATACTTTGGTAATCACCTTTACTGTGGTTCAGGAATTCCTCTGTAAATATAGGGATGTCAAAAACAGATCGTTCCTTTACTTCTGTTTCTTTCTGTAAATCAAGAGCAACAAAACAGTTCTGGTCAAGACGTTATAATATATAAACATTCAGCTTGCCTCTTTCCAAGACAATATTAAATTACACCTAAATTATAGAACTACCACCCCTGAGAATCCCTTGAAGACTAGCTGAACAGAGAAGTCCTATAACTAAGGATATAGAGAAGCCACGTCAAGCCTAGTAGAAGGGACAAAGACGCAGAATAGGCAGGTCCCACATGCATGTGTGGTAGTTAATAACTGGGAGAGCTATCTCAACTTTGGAGGTTCAGCCATGGGTCAAGGGGACCTAGCCCCACACCTGGTAACCCAGTCCAGGTCTCCAGTGCTGGGGAGAGAAGTTCCATAACTTCTGGCTGTGAAAACCAGCAGATTGTGGATGAGTGAGTTGGAGGTTGCTGGAGTCCCCAGGGATCTCTTAAGGAGCCCACACACAGACTCACTCGCTGAATCCCAGTACTGGGGCAGCAGCTCGAAATTGCCAGGGACATACAGGGAGGAAATGAATTGCCTGGCTCCAGGACAAGGTCTGCATGGGCAACTTTCAGATGTGCCCCATTTTGTTCCTCTGATGAGCCCTTCCCCATCTAGTATGTAGATACTGGCAAGCTCCAAATATAAGTCTCTATCCAACTCACCCTACCATAGGGATTCCTTAAGAACCTGTACAACCCAACTCACACACAGGCCTCAACCCTTTATAAGAGGGTATTCCTCACATGTGGCTGGTCGTGGCCAGTGCTGTGGATTTTCCTAAAAATCTCTGAAAGTTCCAAAACCCCAAAAAAGCAGCAGCTGGCCTTGGCATACCCTATACCCAAGCTAAGTTCTCCCAGACTGGCATTAGTGGCAGTCAGCATCATTTTGTAGTGCAGCTTCTCCCAGGGACCCCCCAGGAGGCCAGTAGAGATAGCTATCGACCTTAGATAACTCTGTAGCTCTTTCTAGGTAGGTCAAGGTCAGGAACAGGGAGCAGTTTATCTAGAACTTCACCTGAGCTCTTCCCAAGAGGCCCCAGGACCAACACACCCAGTGGCTGGCTTAGACCACACCAGAGCACCACCTCAATTAGCTCCAAAAATGATACAACAAAAGGGTGAAGCCAGCAGACACCAGAGCTCTGCTACAGTGAATCTCACTTTCAGAGATCAACCCTGCATAACAGCTTGTCTGTTATAGTCAGAGCCAGTCCTCAAAGCCAGCCAGACTAAGGGTCCAATCCAAACCACTGATGTGCTCACATACAACAGGACAGTACACACAATCCAATCAAGGTACACTGCTGGAGCACCCAATTCAGGTGAACACAGAGACTGCATCACTGGTTCCTTACAGGACACCTACTAAATAAGGCCGCCTTGCAAAGACTGGCAGACACAGCATAGCCACCTATTTTATAGAAGCAAACACCTGGAGGCAGCCAAAATTAGGAGATAAAGAAACATGTCCCAAATGAAAGAACAGGAGAAATCTCCAGAAAAAGAACTAAACAAAAGGAGGAAAGCAATCTACTAGATACATAGGTCAAAACACTGGTTATAAAAAGATGATCAATGAAATCAGAATAAGAATAGATGAACTCAGTAAGAACTTACACAAAGAGAAAAAAAAAACATAAAAAAAGATCCAGTCAGAAATGAATAACACATTAGACAGAAAAATTGGCAGATCAGATGAAGTAGAGGTTCAAATTCAGAAATTTGGAAGACACAGTAGTAAAAAACAATCAGAACAGAAAAAAAAAAAAGAGAGAATAAAATTAAATGAGGATAGTTTAGGGAACTCTGAGACAAAATCAACATTCATAGCAAAGGCGTGCCAGGAGAAGAGGAGAGTGAGGGATTGAAAAACTATTTGGAGAGATAATGACTGAAAACTTCCCTAAAAAGGCAAAGAAAATAGACATACAAATCCAAGAAGTGCAGAGTCCTAAACAAGATGAACCCCAAAAGACCCAAAGCAAAACACTTCATAATTAAATTGCCAAAGGTTTAAGACAAAAACAAAATCTTAAAAGCAGCAAGAGAAAACTAAGTTAGTTAGGTACAAGGAAGCACCCATATAAATGTGAGCTAATTTCTCAACAAAAAATTGAGAAATCAGCTGTGCCAGAAGAAATAGGCAGGAAATATTCAAAATAATAAAAAGCAACGACCAACAAGCAAAATTACTCTACTAGCATGGCTATGATTTAGAATAGAAGGAGATAAGAGAACCTCTCAGATAAGAAAATGATAAAGGAGTTCACTACCATCAAACTAGTATGACAAGAAATGTTAAAAGAGGGAGGAGGAGGGGGGAGGGGGAGAAGATAAAGAAGTGAAGGAGGAGAAAAAGATGATGATGATAGAAATATATTAATAAAATGGCAATAACTATATACCTATTATTTTAAAGGAAATAGATTAAATGCTTCAATGAAAAGACATAGAGTGGATGAATAGATAAGAAAACAAGACCCATACATATGCTGCCTACAAGAGACCCACTTCAGATAGAAAAACACACACAGTCTGAAACTAAAGGGAGGAAAAAGATATTTCATACAAATGAAAATGGAAAGTAAAAAGCTGGAGTAGCAATACTTATATCAGAAAAAAAATAGACTTGAAAACAAAGGCTATAATAATATATAAAGAAGGACAGTAAATATAAATAGATCAATCCAAAAAGAGGATACAAACCTTGTAAACACTTACTCACCTAATGCAGAAGCACCTAGATTTATAAAGCAAGTATTATTGGACAGAAAAAGATAGACAGTAATACAATCATAGTAGGAGAATTTAACAACCCATTGACATAAATGAATAGATCACTCAGGCAGGAAATCAACAAGGAAACATCAGCCTTAAATAATAGACCAGATATTTAATTTATATTCCTAGAACTTTTCATCCCAAAGCAACAGAATATACATTCTTTTCAAGTAAACATGGAACATTTTCTATGACAGACCACATGTTAAACCACAAAACAAGTATCAATGACTATAAAAAGATTAAAATCATATCAAGCATCTTTTTTCTTTAAAAAAAAAAATACATATATATTTTTAAAGAAAAAAGATATATATATATTTACTATATATATATAATATTATATAATATTATATATATAATTACATTAAAAAGATATATATATATATATATATATATATATATATATATATTTATTGATTTCAGAGAGGAAAGGAGAGAGACAGAAACATCAGTGATGAGAGAGAATCATTGATTAGCTGCCTCCTGCACACCCCCTACTGAGGATCAAGATGGCAATCTGGGCATGTGCCCTTGACCGGAACTGAACCGGGACCCTTCAGTCCAAAGGCTGATGTTCATCCACTGAGCAAACCAGCTAGGGCTCAAGCATCTTTTCTTATTCCAATGGTATGAAACTAGAAATCAATTTCAAAAGATAACTAATAAACACACAAACACACAAAGGCCAAATAACATAATAATAAACAGTAAATAAGTTAATAATGAGATTAAGGAAAAAATAAAAAGATTCCTGGAGAAAAATAAAAATAAAATACCACCACCCAAAATATGGGACACAGCCAAAGCAGCTATAAGAAGGAAATTTATATCAATATAAGACTATCTCAAAAATAAAAAAATAAAAAAATGAAATAAACAATCTAATCTTATACTTACAGGAACTAGAAAAGGAACAACAAACACAGCCCATAGTGAGTAGAAAAAAGGATCTAATAAAGATCAGAGTGGAAATAAATAAAATAGAGTCTACAAAAGCAATACAAAAGATCAATAAAACCAATACCTGGTTCTTAGAAAATACAAACAAAATTAATAAACATATAATTAAGTCATAAAGAAAAAATAAGACAGGGCCAAAAAATAAATAAAATCCTAAATGAGAGAGGAAAAATGACAACTGACACTACAGAAACAAAAAGGATTATAAGTAAAAAATATGAATAATTACCGTATTTTTCGGACCATAAGACGCACTTTTTTCCCCCCAGAAGTGGGGGGAAAAAGTCCCTGCATCTTATGGTCCAAATATAGCCTACACATATACTTTAAAAAAAAAGTTTTTTTACTTGCCCGGCTCTGTGTGGTCTCTGTGTGCTTGCCCGGCTCTAAAATGGTTCTAAATGCTGCTGTTTATTTACAGGGTTGATTACATGTGTTTATGACTGTGATGTTGGGTTTTAATGCACATAAAATATTTTAGGACACTATTTGTTTCAGAATCTTTTTTTCTTCATTTCCCTTCTCTAAAAACTGGTGCGTCTTATGGTCTGGAGCGTCTTATGGTCTGAAAACTACGGTATATGCTAACAAATTGGACAACCAGGAAGAAATGGATAAATACCCAGAAACACATAATCTTCGAAGACTGAATCAAGAAGAAATAGAAAATTCAAGCAGACTGATAATTACTAACAAAATAGAATCAATAATCAGACTGCGGAGGTTGCCACAGTCTCCATAGCGAAAGGAATCAGAAGCTCCAGACTACAGAGACCCAACCCAATTCCGGGCGAGCCCCTGGGGCACCCACGCTCTTGCACAGGGAATCTGGACAGTCAGGCGGGAACTCAGGAGCGCCTCGGAAGGCAGATGTCTGAGGCTCACACACAAGGCCAGGGCTGACGGGAAGCCAAGACTGTCAGCTCAGCCGAGACTCTGCCCCTTCCAAGCTGAGCAAAAAAGCTTTTGCAATTTTGCAAGTCTGATCCTATAAGACTGTCTCCAATAAAGAAGGTATCCCAAAGTAAACACAGCTTATACTCACATCCAATGGGCATGGAGGTCAATTCCTCCCAGTGATACCAACAACAATCAAGACTTAACTATAACAAGGCTGTACACGCAGTCCACAAAGGGGAGCACCAAGAGTGTCTACCTCAGGTAACTGGGGAGGCTGACCCACTGGGCCATATAGGACACCAAACACAGAAAGCGATCCTACCATCTCTGGGAAGCAGCGAAAATGCCGAGACAAGGAAATAGATCTCAA